ACAGAATGGGCAGAATGATTGGAAACGTACCCGAGAACCGAACCCACAGAGAGAGACCTTCATAATGTACAATACTTACATTTCTTGAGACACTGGTTCCTACACGAGTCCCGATCGTCGAAGCGGTTCCCGTTGCCCTCACATCCGCCGTACCAAAACCTCAGACATTCTTTCTCGTTGACGTCAAAGTACCACTTGATGGTGTAGTCCGAGCAGGTGCCACGGTCGCTGGGCATCTGGCACGGGTCTAGGTTAATAAGGGAGGGGTTCAGTCCGCCATTATTACTAACAAGCTTATCGAGACGTTGTTGCTGTGGTTGGTTACTACCACTATCAGTATCACTACCGCTGCTGCTTCTGTTCTCGTCTTCCCTATGCCTGTGACTATGTCTTCGCCTGCTGTCGTTGCGAGACGACGACGACGACGAGGAGGAGGAGGAGGAGGAGGAGGAAGAAGAAGAAGAGGAAGGCCGAGATGATTGAGCCGAGGTTCTTTCTCGCTCATCTAGGATCCTCCTTCGGGAGTTCTCGGCGTTTGCCTCGCGGACTTTACCGGGATTACAAATTCTCTGGCAGTGACTGAGCTTCTCGAATCGGTTGTTGCTGCCCTTACAACCGCCGTACCAGAATCTGCGACATTGGCCGATACGTTTGTCGTAAAAATACATCATGACGTAATCATCGCACGTGCCCGAGTCCTGCTCCTCAGAGCAGTCCTCCACTGTTCTTTGCTTAGAGGACGTGGACGAAGAAGAAGAAACTGACGACTTCAAACTGACAGAATTAACTACGCTAACAGTCAATAACAATACCAACGCGTGCATTTTTAGATTTCGAACTTGAAAAGGCACACCTAAGCCTCTGCACAGCGTCGCGGACATTTCCGCCGTTTGAGAGGATAACACTCTTAAGGTGGGCCGGAAACGAAAGAAATACTTTCCGATTTCAAGGCTGTCACAAAAAAATGTAATCCGAATCGGAAATCACAAACGTTGGTTCTTCCGCAGACATCACAGTCGTTTGTCAAAGATGAGATCAGTCACACACCACTACACTGGGACAAGAGAAAGACACACACACACATCTATATGTTAGCGCTCTTTCCCCAAATATTACTACTAATCATACTTGTTGTTTGTACGGTTTGATTGAAAGAAACGCCCTTAAAAATGGCCGATAACGGCCATTGAGTGCCAGGAAAAGCCAGAAAGAAGTTAGAACAGAGGGATCATAAAGACGAAGAACTGAACACTCAAACTACTCACTGGTACGATCAAATAACCCCAAAAAAAGAAAGATACACAAACAAAAAACAAAAACAAAACAAAAAACAACTGTAACAACCCGCAATGTTATAGAACGAGAAAACGCAAAAGTAATTTAAAGTAGACCAAGAACAAGGGTAAAACCTTTCCACCCCCCCCTCCCCACAAATAAAACCAACAACCAAAAACCCCACCCCCGCAAAACCTCTCTTTTTCTCCCCCTAAACCCATGTGCACAAGCGAAATCAGGTACGATGATGATATAACGCCGGTTACAACCAGTAACCCCCCACACACACCCCTTGAGAACTGTACGAAAAACTATAATGCAACACACCATTAGTAATACATTCCAGATAATATATTTAGCAACGCGCACAGAAGCCAATATCTAACGCATCCACAGAAAAACTTACATCACTCGAAAGTCAGAAAAGAGCGAGCATCACACGAAAAGGTGAGCATATCACAGCATTGATATGTGGAAGCTGGGGACGCGGATGGGAAAACTGAAGCCGCGAGACATATTCACGCTGTGTGATCTCTGTCAATGTGTTAAGTTCGGTCGACACTAACACTTATCCGACGCCCTTTCGATTTAGTGAACTGTGTCGGACAGCCGTATCAGATGATCAAAGTCGATGCCTCTGAGACAAGGCGAATTTTATCGCTAGGTTTGCATCGTTAGATCACACCTCGATTTTTGATTCAGAGGATTGTCGAGTTTACGGAGTTCAGCGTGAAAAAGATGGGGATGAAAAAGTTTGGCTATTGTAATAGCCTACGACAAATTGATCGAGAATCCAAACTTTCCAGGCATTTTATTCTTACCACGACTATACTCAATGGGGGATAATAATTCAGGATCACGTCCTCAAGGGGAGACACCAGTTTATTTAAAAGGCTGAACTGTCTGATTCTTCAGCTTTCGCGGCTAGCCCGACGTTTCGACTGGATCAGATCAAGCGGAACCGACTAGATGAACGTTGTGTGTACTCTGCTTCACCGGTGTGCGTCCAATGACGCGGCTGTCACCTCCTCCCTGTCTCGCACGTGCATCCCACAGAACAGAGAAACAAGGCAGGGGGAACTTTTTACTTTTTTTCTATTCAAGCCCTGGCTGGACAGCAATAAAAACTGACTTCGTGCACACGCTCACTC